TGTCCTAGATATATGATAAGTGGTTTTTTTATAATTTTATATTGGCAATTAAAATAAAGCTATATTTATGAAATTTATGTTCATTTTGTCGATCTTTTTATCTCCAAAAATGGATTACATTATTTACTAGTAATTAACTCTTTTCATATTAACTCATTTTTGTAATGTGTTGTATGCGCTTTATCACATTCAAAATCTAAAACCAATCGTTTTATTTTGTTACGTGCTTGAGGTAGTTTATTAACTTTGCTTTAATTCATTAACAAATCGATTGCCTTGAATCCTATAAATTTATACATATGTAAGCAAACTTGATAAGTTTGTTTCGGCCAAAAATTTTCGCCTTTTTTTAAGGTTAGTCAATAATAATAATATGTTACCAGTTCAAATACAATTAATACAATTAACTATTTCTGTGTTCTATTATGGTGGTTGTAAGAGTTTTTTGAGGCGGAAGAAATTCAGTTGGTGATTGAACAATAGTGGTTAACAGATTTTCGTTATCGTCATTTTCAAGGATTGTGGGTAAAATGATGTTATTATTATTATGAACCGCGGTTGAAACAACAAGAGATTGTTGTTGTTCTTTTTCTTGAGCAACAGTATTGTTGTTTTCGTTGTTGCTTTTATCACTATTTTCCATAATTTTTGTTTTTTAAAAAAAAACTTTTTTTTGTAGAAAATATTGACAGAATTAAAATTGGTGTAACAAAGTTATCCACAGATTTACCGTTTTACAACCGAAAACCAGTTTTTTATTAAACCGTTACGAAGGTGCACATTAAATTTTTATTATTTTATTATTTTGAAAAAAAAATTTTTAAATACATGTTTTTCAATAACCTTTTACTATTTTCCATTCTATTATTTATATTCGCCTGTCCTCAGCAGTTCTATAAAATAAAATTATTTACTACATACATTCTATTCTAATAAAAAATATGAACAGAATATTATCTATACATTCTGGGTAATTTGTGGCTCCTTCACAAAGCCAAAAAGGTAACAGCCAATGTAATATAAGTATTTCCGAGTTACTGAACAATCATATTTATATACTTTAAAACAATTATAAAAATCTACAAAGCGAACACAAAATTATATGTATATAGGATTATAGGTATATGAAAAGCAATAATGAAAATAATGATTGATTTTTCAGAAAAAGGATGTAATTGTGGTTGTTCTTCAAGAATTCCCAAGGAATAATTTGCAGAATTAAGGGAATCCTTTTTTCAAGCTCTTTCTAAATCTGAACAAGACATATTTTAATGGCCCAGATTAAAACAATGTACAGTGGCTCGATAAGCACTCGTAGACACCTTAAAAAGAAAACTAGATCTAATAAAAGAACTTTCTATCACTGGGATCACAATATACCTCTTTGTCAAGAAACTT